CTCGGGGTCTTTGCACTTCTGGTTGACCTTCTCCTGCATCGCTTGAGCTGGCCGCACTTTCGTGGTAGATTACGACGTCCTCCAAGACACTGGTGTTGTCGGCATCCTCGCTGTAGCCAGCCTCCATGAATACAGAATCTACACACCCAATCAAAAGAATGTCAAAGAAGTTCCCAGCAGCTTCCTGCGTGGGTGCCTTGTTCTCCCTGGCCTCCTTCGCTTTCTGCTTGGCTTCCTCGACGGCATCAGGAAAGAACAGCCATGGTAGTAACGTGACCTGCTCGTGGAGAATGTCCTCCCGCTCTCGCTCTCTCTGCGCTCGCTTGAGCAGCACCTGTCCAAAAATTCGCCACAAGGCAACAGAATGCAACGAGATCCTTCCATGTGCTCCGCGGTCCCGCCTCGTGCTTTAACGCAGCCACACGCTCAAGACCACCGAAAGCGACTGCACCAACCTGCGAGGGACCGGATGAGAAGACACCGAAGCCGGGCCGCCGAAGCACAAGATAGCACAAGCGAGGGCAACAGCAATTTCCGCACTTGTCCGCTGCCTGTTCAGCTTCTTCATCCGAACAAACACCTTCGTCAAGCGGCTGTGGGCCACAGGCGGGGATCCCGCTTCAACACTGAGCAGACCTAGCAGGAGAAGCAGCAACCGTGGTTCGAACTTGTCGAAACCTTCCGGCCTCAGAAGCCACAAATGAACAGATGCAACTCTGCCGGCGAGTCACGCTGAATCCTGGATGTGAGTAAGGTACAGGCCCGTCATCATTCAAGTTGCTGACCAATGGAGCTCGAAAGCTCAAGCCTTTCAGCAGCCACCTGCGAGCGAGGTCTCGAAATGACGAGAGGCGTAACAATCCCAAGCACCAAAACATGCGAAAGGGATTCAAGGCATCCAGGCGATCCCCGTCCTTTCCAGAGTTTCTGCGAGGCTTTGTCGGACGCCAGGTGTCCTCGCACGCACTCAAGAGTTTGCAAGGAACTCTCTTGAGTGCTCCATCCTGTCGCCGAGAAGTGCATTGAGATGTGGGAGTATGTCCTCCAGGTGTGGCGCCAATGGGCCAAGTGCCCAGCAAAGTCCAGCATGTCCAGCACTCTCAGTCTACTGAGTCTACTGTCCGCTCCCGCATGATAGAGCTGTCAGAAAAGTGTCGAGACTTGTGCGACAACTGAAACGAAACCCTCAACTTCACATGTGGCAAGCTACAGAGACAACGAAGGCCAATCGGACTTACAGACGAAACTGTCGCAATAATTCAATATCCCGAGCGGGTTGTGGCAAGCCTCCATGTGATCCATCATCGGAGCTTCTTGCAGAAGCAAAGCACCGATGCTCTCAAGCGTTGCTCTTCTCACCTGACCAGCTTGAGGCTCTCCGTCAGGCAGAGGCTATGATGGGAGCGGTATCGGGCGGGAGATTTGGCTTCCCAAGTTGGGGGTTATTCATTGTCTGCCGCAAGGCAGAGTTCTAGGACTCATCTCAACGAGTGAAACGCACTGGTGTTCATGTGCCATCTTCCAAAATGAATTTCCAGAGGCTGACAACCCCCCCAACCCCCTCCCAGCGACCCCCAAATGCCCTCTCACCCGTACGTGATCGAACCTGGCTATAGGGTTGTGGCGGTCAGCGGTCAGCGGAGAACTAAAAATGCAGTCGGAATGACTCGGCCAGCCAAGCACACTTTGGTACACTTCAGTACCAGCGCGTGATTCAGAATGCGTTGCACCGTAAAATCCGTAAAACAGACAGAGTCGAACGTCTACACTTGCGAACATCCTGTAGTGCTGTCCAGTGCAACATGCGCGACAACACAACGTACACAGCTTCGAAAGGGAATGCATAAGAAGGAGAGATGCAGCCTTCCACTGCTGGTGCTTCAGGTTGGCCAGAAGCGACCCCACCTTGGTTCCATTCCAAAGCTTCACACGTGGCTCTGCGCCCTCATATGTGCACACACAGAATTCATCGAGCCACTGCTTGGGGCTTATGGACTTCTATGCTGAATATGGATTGCCTACGACAGCCAGGGACAAGGCAAGAGGTCCACATGCACGGCTGACTCTCTCTGCCTCAAAGAACTGGCTCACCTGCTTTGGTGCAGTCGAGATTTGCTCAAAATGGGAAGCTCCTGGCTGCCTTCTTAGTGATCTCGCAGCACTCCTTCTTCGCGTCGGGGCATGTGTCCGTCAAAGCCTGACAAGCAAAGAAGAAGCAGGTTTGCCGACAGAAGCAAAGAGCATCGAATCTCTGTAAATCAGTCGGAGCCTTTGACAACGCATCCAAGACGTCGCTCGCAAAAGGACTGAGCCGCTCCTGAAGTTGGGAAATCGCCGACCGCGGAAATTGCACAGACGGAGTGGCTCCTTGCAGAGATCGAAGAGGTGGTTCAAAAGTCGCAATGCCTCACGATGGTACTGAATGCTGGGGTGGGCAGCGCCATGCACAGTACATGTCTGTGAAAACGAACCTCGAGCCGCAACTCCTCGCTCTGCTCAGGAAAAGGGTGGCCTGGACGCAAGACCATCCGACGAACAACGCATCAAGCAGCAAACAGCAGCAAACCTCGTGAATAAAGGTGCAGCCAGGCTTCTTCTAAATCTGCCCAGAAGAGCCGCCAGCAACAGCCTGGAAGGACTCTCCGATCAAAGCCGGTAGGAACTACCGTGCATGCCCTTACCCTCAGTAGCCAGCGGGAGAACATTCTCCAAATCTTGTACCTGGTGTATACAAGTACTTGCTGACAGACTGCCTCTATCAGGGGTACGACCAGGGCAGCAGCCGGTAAGAGATCTGCAAAGCGTAGTGTCATAGACAGTGAAACTTCGCGACACTTCTCACCCTGATCGGCGAACCTGGCACATGAAACGAATGCGGTTGCTGAACCACCGCCACCTGTATGAATGCAGCGCTCTGCGCTTACATGAACTACCGCTCAGGGCTTGCAATCACTCTCTCGTGTGAACACGCACCAATCGAGCCGTTGCCGCATTCTGAATAGAGGCTTGTGCAGCTCCTCCAGAAAGACTCTTCTGACATACTCTGGAGAGGCCTTGCTGCCTCAAGGTTCGCAGTCTCTCCAAGACACAAGCCACGCGTAGAACTCAGCACATCAATGATAATATCACCATGAAGAGACACTTAAGCGCACGACTGCTCAGCAGTGCCTTGTCCTTACCGAGGCTGTCTTCGATCCAACTGTTTAGCAGCACTCTTCCCCACAAGCTTTGGGTTGGGGGCTGTCTACGAAAACACCTCATCAAGACCAGACCTGGCCTCCTGGCCAGGTCTGCTCACTTGCATTCTAATCTTCACACTTCAAACACTCCGAGCACTGCAGCCGAAACGTTTTTAGACAACAAGAACGTTTTGGCTAGAACACAACCGCAACGTGTGCAGGACCGACAAGGTCTGCACACGTGACAACGAGTACTGTGCACTTCAGAAGTCTGCCTGAGGCCTGAACAAGCTTGACTATGGCTCCTCTTCTGACTGCCCGGTCGTTGTCTGTGAGACCTGGAGCGGTTTATTCTGTGCCCGGACCACGCCCGATTGAATGTAGCATGGTGACATGCTCACGTTGCTGGGCATCTTCGACGCCTTTCGACCGCCAGTTGCAAAATAAGGTCCACACAGTTTATGTCTCTCCGAACAGTCAGCAGGAATTCCTGCAGCAGATGATTTACCCTAAAAGCTGGTCTCGAAACAATGGGGAGATTGGGGGTCATGCCAAGGCGCCACGGCTTGCAGGCAATACTCGGATGTACTTGAAAGACAATTGGACGGATAAACGGAGCAAGAGTCAAGTTGTCCTTGAATGGACTGTGGAGCCTGCCGTATAACTTCGTGCACGGTCGGGTGGAACGGTGTGTGGCCAGGGTTGGTGGAGTGTGGGTAGAGGGTGGCGAAGTGCCGTTGCAGTCGGAGGTGGGCCTTGGGTGGCAAGGATACTTCAAGCATAATGTCAGTTCGCAAGCATGTCAAGCACTTGTGTAACACATCATGATGGCTAAGTGGCTAGTTGAAACTATATGACTTGTGATTCATTGCATTGAAAAGTCGTACGAGTCTGACAAGTGATTTTTGACTCAGCGTAAGCCCACTCTTATACATATTCGTCATTGTTGACAAAAAATCCGCCCTTGGATAAGCAGCAAATAAGATTATTAGTAAGTTATTGCCGCGCCTAGGCTGGAATTATTACAGGCCAAGTTATGGGTGGTGTAGCGTGCACCTACCGAAACCGCTAGACGAGTTGGCCATGCAACAGTCGAACATGTGCATGTGTGTGTGGTAATCACCACTGAAATCATCCTCCGGCGAAGGTCCAACATGAGCGCCTATGCCTCTGCTCACCAACGAAGGGACCCCCGAAAGCTCAATGTGGTGTTTAGGCAAACGTCCTGGTAGCCGTCCATGCTTCGGCAGCCAAACCTTTATGACAAGTGGGATGTATTGGACTTGTAGATGCACTCATGCTTCCTCCTACATGCTAGAACGGCCCGCCGACTTGCTGAGGCAAGCGCTGCTGCACCGAAGAACGAATCTGCGAATTCTCTGTTAAAACTTCAGCTAGTGGTACACTCGCGAGTGTCCTCAAGCTTCTGCAGCTTGTAGCTATGGGGTGGCTAGGTAAGAAGTGCAGGACGCTTGACGATAGAGTCCGGTAGAGGTTGAAGAACGTCTGAGATATGAATATTTGTCGTTCGTATTGGTGCTGTGAAAAGATAACAGCGAGTCATTCACTGAATGGATGTCCTGCGTGTGCACTGCAGTGACCCATACCTTGCGTCTGGTAACCGTGATGCGCATGCGACGCTGTCAGCTGAGGCAACGCAACAACAGGGTGAGCTTTCTAGAACAACAAACCCATGTTCACTTGCCAGTGTCTGCCAGCCCCTCGCCCTGACAAAGCCCTCCCAAGCAATGTGCTTCACCAGGCGTGAGGCCTTGGCTCTGAGCCACGAACTCTTCTGTAAAGAGGCACTTTGGCCCTCGGCTAACCGGAAGGGTGAAAGAAGACCTCCGCCTTGATGTTCTCGACCCACCGGAATGGAAGCCTCGGCTCTTTGCTTCCCGAATCGAGTGAAAACGCAATCGGCCAGGCCAGGCCAGGCCGCCAGGACCTGTACAAGTCTGTTCCGACGTCCACCAGCAGCAGACCAGCGACAACAAAACCATTGCGCTCCTTGGGGAGGAGCGGAGACTTGAAACGAGCGCTTGTGGAGGCTCTAAGGCAGCTGAGGCTCCATGGACTCGATGAGCTGCCGCGTGTGGTCCTTCTCTGCACCTTCGCTTTTGCAGGATGTCGCTTGGGGGCCATGGAGTTGCCACTTGGGTTCACTGTCGATCATGTGAATTCTAGGCTTGCGCGTTCCATCTTGGCCGCCTTGGCGGCTTAGACTTGGGCGTTATCTCGGGGATGAACCGTGAATCGCCTCACAGAGAGAAGAAGCTACCTTGAGCCCTTCACTCGGTTTACACTAGGTACCATCCTACCTAGGTCTGGAACATCAGAGGGGCAGGACCAGCGCCACGATCTCCACGAGACCAAGTTTCGGCGAAGATCTACTGCGAACTTGCACCTTCAGGTCCCAAATCCGGGCAGGTTTGCAAGAACCCTCCATTCTACGAATGATCAACTCAGGATTCAATCTCTCAAAGTCAAATTCCGCATATCTAGAGAGAGGCTTCGGTCAGGTCGCTTCGCTGCACTCAAGACACCTGAGAGGAGTCTAGCAGTGGAAGGGCCCAAAGCGTCTACAGCTTCCTGCAGGTTCACCTTGGCCCAGCTACCGAAATCCAGATGTCTCGTAGGCAGATGAATCCTAAACTCCGGTGCTGAAGAACACGATAGCTTGCATGGGTGCAGATGCTGCGCAGCCTTGATTGGTGAGTTCCAACTTGCACCAGGTCGACGTCCACGTCTTTGAGAGGAAGCTGCGCGAGCACCTCTGCACAGTAAACCGAGATGCAGCATCACTGTGGCTCTTGCCATAGATGCTGGCAGTGTGATCAGCTTTACGAGGTGATGCACTTCCGGCTGTATCGTTGCCATGTTTGCTGGTTTCACTTCGCATGACACAAATGAATCCCTCGATCTTATTCGATCTTAAACTCGACAACCACTGAGCCCCAACTCTTCCTTTGCTGCGTGCCCCAAGCCCCAGCAGGACCCAGAAGATGCAGCCGGTAGCCTCGAGCTCGGATCCCTTGAGATTTGCCACGAGGTAGTTCACCCGCTGCAGGCCTCCCTCCTTCAGAGACGAGGCTCTTCCGCCGACGGGCAGATATGTCTTTTTTTTCTTCAAAAGAAGTATTTAAGCGTGTCAGCGAGCATGTGCATACTGCGACATATATGTGCATACACCTCTGACTAAGTAACCTCAAATGAAATCGCTGTGGACTGTGCCAATAGCGTTACAAAGACGGGCAACGTCCCACAAGAACTTCGACGTCAAAACAGGCACCGCCACGCTACCCTACCATGTGACGACATGCTTGCATCGAAACCGAAAGCTAGGTTGATCCAACTGGCAACACCCAGCATGTTGATCCTCGAGATCCCTCAGAATTCTACAGACTGGTCTCCCTTCCGCCGTTCCCACAACCTTTCTCCATAGATGCCTTTCACGACAGCTGAAAAGGGAAGCATGGACATTGCAGATGAACTTGACACAAAGATTGGACGTCTGCTGACTCCTGAAGCAGCTGCTGCAGAGAGCGGCACGGAGGGTCTGCCGCCGCTGCATTCTGGCCGCAAAGAACGCCTTGCAAGCTCACACTCCTTGGTCGGGGTCAACGGCGGTGCCCTGCGTCAATCGAAGGAGAAGATTGACCAAGTTCAGGTGTCACAAACCTACAAGAACTACCTTCGACGATGCTTCGAGGTTCTTTGGGCGGTTGGCCGCCAGCGCGGCGAATAGAGCTTCAGAAGACTCGGTCAGGATGCCGTGCCAGCCGAGCTCCTTCTCTAAGAAATATGTTCTGGTGTCTGTCAAACCGTCTGAAGCTCCCAGCTCCAGGAACTTTCCAGAACGTGGTCCACGAGCATCCAACTGGAAAAAATTCTTCAGAACCCACAAATCTTCTCCATAGGGAGCTCGCACGCTCGGATGCGTGAACGCAGAGGGCTTCGAGAACTGCTGTCCGCGGAAAGCCGAGAACCATGCAGCGCACTGCTCTTGGGGATCTTTGCCACTGGCTTTGAGCTGTCGATTTATCACATTGATGCTAAAATCTTGCCGATCCTCCGGCGTCGAAGGGCCATCTTGGGCAGAAAAGAAGCCGGCATTGATCAGATATGGAGTGTTGCCCTTACTCAGGAGATGGCCGCCAAACCACACATCGTCATGCACAGCACAGCCATCCGGGGCATCTGTAAAGTTGAAGACGGTCTCGTCAAAGAACCAGCGCTTGAACAGCACCCCTGCAAAGCCACCACACCACCCGTGCACAGTGCCCTCCGTGGCATCCGACATGATTTCAAGAGTCTGCCATTGGATTTGATCGGAAGCGACACCGCTGGCTCGTGCCTCCTCGCACCAGAAACCTGGAGCAGCGTGGCTCGGCAGCGCACTTGCAGCTAAGACCAAAGCCAAGACAGTGTCCTTGTGATAAGTCGTGTCGTCGTCGACGGTGATGAGCCAGGTGTTTGGGTCGTCCTCGACCTTCAGCGCCGCCAGGAGCTTCGTCCCGGGACCCCAGTCCTCGTCAGTAAAACGGACGACCACGCGGTCGCTCAAATCGCGGAGAGACTCCAACGCTTCGGCCGTGTCCACACCATCACCGTGGCCACCGAAGCCTGCGCCGGTGCGTTTTGTCCGAGGCTTTCGGCTCAGGAAGATGTAAATTGCATCAGGCATGCAGCTCTGAGCTGACAGCGATGCTACCGTCCCTTTCAGCCTTCCCAGGCGTCCCTCGAAAGTTGAGAGTGTCACAACAACGCGGGTGGGCTTGGGACAGCGTCCTCCTGATGCCAAAGAAGAGGTGGCGGAGGCAATCAGCTGTGCCAGCGGCTCTTTGGAGAAACTTTCGCTTTTTGGTACGGCACGCACCTGAAACTCTTGCCAGGCGCTGGAACGAGGAAGCCAAGACAGTAACACTGGGAGGGCCACAAATACAGCGAATGTGAGAAGCCTCCACCATGCCATGGTAGCTCCGCTCATTACGAGTTTCGACGAGGTCGAGACAATATGGGGTGATATGGGGTGCAGGTTATCTGGCTTAAAGCCCCCCAGGACGTGCGCCTGTTTTTTCGCAGGCCATTTCCTGAAGCGGACGAGTCTGTACTCTAACGATGTCAGAAACTCCCACTGTCTTTCTTCGATCAAGCGGTCCAGAAGAGTAAGTTCTGGAATGCCCTTTGGAGTCTAGCGCGAGCCTAGTCCCCAGTATGCAAGACAAGTCCTGGCAAAGCTGGTCTTGTTTTATGGTAATGGGCCAGTTCGCAAGAGCAGCACGAAGCTGACCATCGACATCTTGAAGAACACCGAACAGTTGGGGCTTCGTTTGTAGCCAAAACTACACATGTTCAACGCTAGCCTTGAAGCTACAAGCGGACGTGAGCTGCAGCATCCAGTCCCGCTATAAACACGCATCTTGATTGCCAGGAGAAGTGGCTGATGCCGGGCTCTTTTGCTTCCGCATATGGAGCTACACCTCGCATGACTCTGGTTTCACAGGCCACGGCCTCGCATGAAACGATGCTTGCAAGTGTCAGGGCAGCGTGGTAAAACAACGGCAGATGCCGGCCTGCAAAGACCTCTTGATCGCATGCCGCACCTGTCTTGGGGAAGGAATCTGCTCGGCTGCAGCTTCGAAGCTACGGCAGTGCATTGAAGATTCTGCTTACAAGTCGATGTGGAGTAAGCTCCATTGGTATGAACGAAGCTTTCACAGGGATCCTGAGCACTGATGCCTTCAACAACCTTAAACGACATGTCAGCCCAAATGCATCTGGGCAGCAGGACGCACAAGGCAACGACAACGGCGCAGACATCCACCGTCACAAGGCCACCTTGCAAGCTTGGAGCTATTTTCAACTGACTGATGCATCACAGTCTGATACACGATCAACTTCGGGAAGTTGTTTCTGAAAGTGGTGGTCCGCCCAGCAGCAGGAACAAATGCTAACAGTGTGTAGCTCGAGCGCTCCCAGCAAAACTGGGGCCTGCCGCCATTTCGGCCCCTCCAACAACATCATCAAGGCCCTCGCAACAATGGCGGTGGTTCTACGGTCGTTATGGTCGCTATGGTCGTCGGTATGGTCGTCGACACGGTCGTCGGGTCGTCGGACGATTACTCACTTTGTCCTCCTCTCGTCGGCGCTGTCGTTCTCTTCCTCCCCCTCAGTTGCTTTTTATGCCTTTTCCTCTATTTGCTCCGTCTCTTTCCTCCTCCGCCTGCTGTTGCTGCACTCATTTTTGGACACCCTGCTCCATCTCCTCATGGGCATCGCGATGCTCGCCAGCAGCACCCTCAGCACCATTGAATTTCACGATTGGGCCCTCGTTTTCACCAGCATCGTCATCATCATCATTACCATCGAGTCATCATCATCACCATGTTCATGATTATCAGCATCGTAATAATTGCCATCGTAGTCACCATCATAGTCGTCATCATCAATATCATCGACGACGACGACCATGCTCGGACACTTTGTACATAGTCAACACATGCGTTGCAAGTTCAGCAAAATGTCCTCTTTGTGTCGTCAAACGTGTGTTACCAAGTGCGCACATGGCATGTGCGTGGGTGTGTGTGTGTGTGTGTGTGCGCGTCTATGTCTGCGTGTGTTTGTGTGCGTGACCTCCCGTCGCACATAAGGAAAGAGGGTCACTCCTATTCTGCAGGGGCGTGCAACACCTTTGGCATAGTGCACGCAACGAAGCTATTGCCAAAGGTGGGAAAGGATCAAGGACGCTTGATCCTGTACCTGCAACGAAGGTTGTGACATCCTACTCCTACAAGCTGTGCATGGTGCCATCCTGTGATATCGTCGCTGCACAAACATAGTATCTGCAGCCAGCTCGCAACAACCTCAGGTCAGTGCCTGATTGACAGCAGCCGTTGCGTGTGCATGACAATCAACAACAACCCCGCCTCACCCCTCTTTTCTACTTTTCTCTTGCTCTTGCCGAAATCCCACAAGTGTGGAAATAGGGTCCCGGAGACCCGTTAGCAGCGGCGTGGTGGCCCTGCGGGGTAGCTGGCCCAGGGCCAGATATTGGGTTGACTCTTCGGACTGATTGGCTGACACTCCCGGGCACCTAGCCTATACTGGCTATCCGAAAATAGTACGGGCAACGGCATGTGCGGTGACGGCATGTGCATCTCAGTGCATGTGCAGTAACGGTGCGTCTAGTGCAAGTGCAGGTGCGCAGGATTACCTCCACGATTATGTCATTATGTCCTTATTCTGTCGCTTCCTTTCTCAAGGAATGCGTGTGCATGTGAATCTGACATGGGTGCAATAACTTTCGTCTCATGCAGTAGCTTTCGTCAAATGCATTGCTCCTCCGGGAACCTGACACTTCGGCAGTGCATCTTCTTTTTCCCCCCAGCAGAACAACAACAGTTCCGTTGCCTTGTGACTGGCGCTCCTAGCTCACTTAGCGTGAGTTGCTTCCCTTTCCATGCAGCAATACAATCCTTCTGGGCCTGACGAACTGTCTTTCTTTTCTTAGCATTCCCGTTAGGAACAAGCTTGTTTCCGCTGGTCATGTCACTGTGCTGTTTCGCCGAACTCATGTTGGTCCGGGTCCTGCCGGCTGCGCAAAACGACAACCCTCACCTCTGGGAACCTCTTCCAAAGCTATACAGGCAAGTGTGTTCCCTCCCGGACTTGGGACCGGGACAGCTCAGGCTATGACTGATGCCAACAACAGCAGCCACCAAAAACACCGCCGCAACTAGCGCCACCAGCACCATCAGCACCACTAGCACCACCACCAGACCCAACCAATGCACATCCAAGGATCACAACTAGCAAGCGCGGCAACAAGAGCCTGAACCGCAGCCACAATCAGTCCGAACTGCAACAGGAATGCAGACTATCAGTGTACAGCCAGATCGCTCTGGCTCAGCGGCCAATACTTACTCTGCCACATTTTACAGCCACTGCGAACATAACCGCAGCCCCAACTGCAGCTGTCTTGGAAACAACAAAGCTAGTTGATTTTCACTGGGCGGGCGATTCGAACATAATATGTTGCCCAGTTGCATATCATGTGCTCGCGATCCTTCATCTTGTCCCTCAGATGTTCTCTCAGACCAGCTTAGATGCCAACTCCTCGACTCGGCCACGCGCCATAGGTTACGAACAATACAAAGCATCATTAACCCAAGGCACACAGCAAGTCAAGGCGATTACAGGGAAGTGATCCTTTGAGGAGTTCTCACTCGACTGAGATGTTGGGATGACAAGAATCAATGGACCGGTTACATCACCTCGAGCGAATCTCACCAATAGTGAGTAACCCAAGCCATCCAAGGAACTGTACAAGGAGTTGCGCCGGATTTCTTATTGCATGGGAATCCTCTGCAAAGCAGCCAACCTCACGGATTGTGCTGCTCGCGGCTTTCAGCGGCACTTCCCTTTCAAATTTGTGCCTGAAGTCCGCAAGCCCGTCCTGACTAATTACGATGTGCAAAGGAACACGAGTGCAGATATTCTCTGCACGTGGATGTAGTCGTCGCGGGTCCATCGCCAGAGCCGCCTTAGCCAGCATGTTTCGGGTTGGAAAGGTTTATCCCATGACACGTTGCAATGGGCGGCATCCTCAAATCCCTCAAGCTCTGTTCATGTATGGTCCCCATCTTCGAGCTGCAAGCCGATTCAGCTGTACCAGCCGGTGACCCGAGATGCAATGTCGAAATTTTAAAGCATGATAACTTCCTCTCGGGTTGGCTGGTACAGCAATTGAGCTTCATGGAGACGAAGAGGAATCCCGCTCTAAGCTGCAACAGCATGTGATGTGCGAAAGTCCGATTGCTGCGAGACGGGTTGGGACGGTCGGGACTGCGGCCCCTTGACAGGACGAGGAGTCAAATACTTCACGGACATAGTAAACTGGATCATGTATTATCTTGCAGAGAAATTTCGAAGCAGCTCCGGGTTTTGAATGCACTTATCTGTGAGAACCTGTCGATAAGCCTCGACCTCTGCGAAGATTGCGATCATGGCATTGTGCAGGTCCGAATGCTTCATAGCAAAGATCAGGAAAAGCTGCTACTTCACGCACCCTGCCTTTATGTCAAAACCCATCAAAAATAAACATGCAGCATGTCCCGCCAAGGGTGAAACCCAACATTGGCCGGAAAAGATATCACGTGATGTCAAGTGCTCCTGGGTGGCAGGCGAAGTGTCCACATCGTCGAAGCTACTCTGCAGGGATTGGAGCTGCCAGCCCTCGGTCGCGAAAATCTGCCACTCTCTACCACCCTGCACTGTTGTGGACTAGCCTTGTACTTTGATGTATCTGCGACATGATTAAGAGGACTGGCAACTGTCTGTTGGCTCGTGTGACTTGAACGAGCAGCAGCTGCATCGTCGTTAGGGTGCACATGCACTGGTGTTTTCGAGACAAAAAAGACAGACGAAGCTTCAAGGCTTCACATAGGGATCGTGCAAGCAGATTACAGAACCTATGAGGTGTGTAGCACTGGTAAGATAAACAAGGTCGCGTGACTGGACTGCGAGCCGAGAGGACTTCAAGATTGAAATCCGGAGCAACGGTGGCATTGCGGACCTAGGCCCTACGACGCTACGAGGTCTGAGGAGTCCGAGGGTTTTCTCAGACTGCCTTGATCTGTGGCGACTTTTCGAACACAAAGTTAATAGCAGAGCCTTGTGCCTAGCACGGGACGACGGCATCAGTTTCAAGGCTGACAGGTGCTGCCACTTCATAACTAAATTAGGACTAGAACTTCGATGCCATTTGCAAGCATTTCCAAAACTTCGTGCTTCGATGCTAAACAGATTTCATCCAATGCATAATACAACATTAGGACATCCGGCCTCGTAGGCGTCTGGTAGGAAGAGGCGAACAACTTCAAACGGTAGAGATCCTTGGCAGTCCGCAGATCTTTCCAAGCTCCACCTGAGCCTAAACCCTAAATCAAACGACAGATAGCGAGGCGACAGCAA